TAATCAATATAACATGGGCTGAGTGGTATAAGCCTATTTGTTTTTTTCTCACCACACCTATGTTTCGGTCTTACAACCCCATCCAGGGTTGAATAATTGGATCAAACATATAGGCCCACTGTCTTTTTTTATTATATTTTTGTAATTTTTTGACACACTACCTTTTCACTTTTTTTGCACATTAATTTGTTTTAGATTTAGATTTCATCTTTTATTTTCTTTCTTATAGTTAATGATTAATTTTGATTAAGGTGTGATCTTAATTCTAATTTGGATGTAAAATTTGTAATTTAAAAGTATGATTAATTTTTGATTTGAGCTCGTGATTAATTTGTGATTTAAATTAGTGTTTAATCCATGGTTTAAGGTTTGCGATTAAATCCATAATTTAGAATCATGAATATATGAACAATTTCTTATAAGTTTCTTGATGCATACTTGTTGATTAGTTTATACCTTGATTTTGATATATGTGCTTGATGACCACTCTTGATACGTGATGTTATTGATTTCTTGACTATTTTTATTCACATGAACCCTTAGGACATCCTGATTCAACTTTCTCTTTAATAAATTGAATTAGGATTGGACTTTAGGTTTTCACCCAAACATGATAACATTAGCTAAGGTTTCCCTCAAACTCAACCTTAGGCTCTGATCCAAGTATGACAACTAGGATAATCTCCCTTCAACCTAACTTTAGGTCTATCTTTTCATGATAACACAAAGGGAAAAATTCCCTTTTAGTCTCTCTTCTTTTATAAAACAAATTTTTCTTAATAAAAAATACAAAAAATACTTAACAAATACGATATGTATTACACACCACGAGCCTTAAGTACATGGGAAAAGAGGAGCGAGAGTTTTTCTTACCTCTGCTTAGGGTATGTTGTAAGTGATACGCTTGGCTCATTTGTATGATATATTCACTCTTATTGTCATAGACTTTAGTGTGATACGTATCTCAAATTATTTTCCATATCTCCTAACAAAACACTTCACAAATTCAAACCATCTTTCCTTCAAACTTTTCCCTTTAAAGCCTTTTCAAAAAAGGTGTACTACTTCTGTTTTATCGCAAATAGGCAATGTCCCTAAGTGCTAGAATGCGAACTTAGCATCGTCCATTAAAAAACACAACAAATCAACTTTTTCAACAAGAACCACAGAGTTCTGATTCCCTCTAGAATACGTAGGCACTGGGTTGCAAAACTCATACGAACTCAATAAATAAAAACCTTTTTCTTTTTTCCCAAATAATTCATTCATTCATTCCCTTAGCAAGTAAGTCTTTAGATATACACACCCTTTGATTTGAGCAACAAGAGTAGATACCATTGAGTACAATGGACGTGAGGAGTGCTAACACCTTCCCCTTGGGTAATCGACTCCCAAACCTGAATTTGACTGCAAGACCATTTTTATTCCCTTCTGAGGCTTTCTCGATGTTTTTCTTTCCCTGTTAGGATGAATAAAGTTCGATGTTGACTCTGTGTTAAATTTTGCATAACGACAGCTGGCGACTCTACTGGGGATGCCTAAGCAAGTCTGTCCTAACTTTTGTTTGTTTTCTTTTCTTTGGTTGTTTATATTGATGCCTTGCTTGTATATTTATTGCATTCTTGCTATTTTAATCACATTATTCTGGATTTTTACTATGCTAACGGGTTGGGTTGTTACTAAGAGATGAGCCCACTACCCAAGCTTGAGTATACACACATGATTAGAATGGACTCGTGTTGACTTGCATAGTGTTTGATACGTATAGTTTGCACGAGACTCATATTTAGATGGGGTTTTCTTGATAATACTATGTGTTGCATGTTATGCAATAGTTAGAGTGTTTGCGTAGAGAACGCATGACTTTGGACACCTTTCATTGGAAATCAGTAGAGGCCTCCTTGAGGGGTAATAATTCCAAACAAGAAATTGTGAATGTATTATTATTTCTCGACCTGAGAGTTCAAGAAGTTGGAGACCGTTAGGTACCTTTGTTCAAGACTAGAACCCACATGTGAGAAGGGATGGGATTTTGCAAGAAATACTAACCTTCATCCTACTCGGTTTTCTAATTTTCTTGCAGAGGAAAACTTTTGAACCTATTATGTTCAACCTATTCAGTTATCAGCACAATAGATTTCCAAAATTTATGGGAGCCTTGATCCCATGTCTTTGCATTCATATCATTGTCGCTACGCGAAAAATGACACAGAGTCGCCACCGAATTTTATTTATCCCAAAGAGGGAAAGGGAAATAACATGGTCATCGCAACCACATTTATGGGTTCGGAAGTCGGTTATGTGAGGGGAAGGTATTAACACCCCCTCACATCCATCGTACTCGATGGGAACCTTCTAAATTGTCTAAGCTTGAATGGGTGTTCTATTCTAAAAGTCTACTTGCTAAAGGGAGAGAGAGTTGGTTTTTTATTAGGGTGCTCGCCAAGGATTGGGGCCCTTGTGCCTATGTATCTTCACTTAAAAGAAGTGAAGAATCAGAGCATTTGTAGTCCGAAGGACTATGGTGAAAAATGGGAAGAGTGGTGGATGATGCTAACGTGCGTATTCTAGCAGTTAGGTATATTGCAGCTCGCTCGTGGAGTCTTAGGCGTTACTTGTTTGCGGTAGAACGAACAGAACATGTCCTTTTTGGATGAAGAAAAATGTAAGGGTGAAAGGTGGAACAGAAAGAAGAGTGCTCGCTAGGATCATCATAATCATATACCTACGCATTCTCAACAGGTATGAGAAATCAGAGCAACCATAGTTCGGCCTAAGGTTTGTTGGTGTTTTCTATGGACGATGTTAACTTTTGCGTTCTAGCAGTTAGGTGTTTTGCCGCTCGTTTTCTGGAGTCTTACGCGTTACCTGTTTGCAATAGAACAGAAATAGCATGCCCTTTTTTAAAAGGTTTTTGATGGAATCCTAAAGATGAAAAGATTTGGATTTGTTGCTGTGTTTTTGGTTATGGTTTCGAAAAGAAGTTTGAGATGCACATTGTATTAAAGTCTATGGGTAGAAGTGAATATTTTGAACGACCAAGTCGAGCGTCTTGTGTTCAAAATACTTGAAGTAAGTGTAGGGAGGCTCCATTCTCACTTGTTCTCCACCACCTACTACACGCATCGTATTTATTAAGTGTTTATATATTTTTTATTAAGAAAATATTTGGATGCAAAAGGGGAAAGATCTAAGGGAGATTGGATTCTAAATGTTGTCATGCAAAAGATTAAAAATCTAAAGTCTATCATACTTCGAACTTAATCAGATATTAAGTTGGACTAGGAGATTCTAAAGGAACGTGTGAAAGCAAAGCAAGCAACAACATAAACTATACCAAGCAAGACTCAAGCACAAAGAGAAACTAGTGTCATGTCAAAGTTTCGAATACAAGGCACAAGATCGAGAATTAATCAACAACCATCAAGAACTCATCAAAGGTATCAAGAATTAATTACAACGAAAATTGAAACCTAGCATCAAATATCAAAATTCTAATAAAATTCAAGATCAAGCACACATAAGAACCATTATAAAAAAGAAAATACTAACTAAATTAGATAAAGATATTTAATAAATATAAATATATTTTTTAGATTTTTTATTATTAAATAAAAAATGACTATATATTTTATTTAAGCATTATTAAGAAAATACCTAGAAGAATATCATTATAAATTTTTTTTAAAATAAATGAAATAAAATTTTTATTTGAAATATAAGAAACTAGAATCCATTAATTATAACCTAATATCAATTAGATTTAGGTTTTCTAATATATAATAGTAAAATAAATTAAAAGAGGGGGTGAAGAATGATTAAGAGAGTGTGGATAGATATAACACGGGCTAGAAGGTGAAGGCCCAAGGAAAGGGATTAAGCCCCACAGAAGTTGGGGTGTCGGGTCCAGCCAACCAGGTTGGTGCTGATCCGGTTTGGTTTATGCTAAAATAAAAACCTACACAACCGTTCAAAGAGGAAAACAAGAGTTCTTCACCTATTTCACCCGAAAATAAAACCGTACAATCTCACTTTTTCTGCTCGCGATTCCTTCTGATCCGGCGATCGCGTGGTGTTCTTATCGAAACCGTGTTGATAATGTATCGAAACCGTGTTGATAATGGTGTCTGATTATGATGTTCATGGCGGAGGATCTGAGTGTGTTGGGTTGGATGTTGAAGTGAATTTTTAGGAAGTAAAAACCATAAACCTAACAAAACTATGAAGAAAGCATTAAAACTAAGAAAAAGCTCTAAAACTCAGAATGATAAAACTAAATTGATAAAAATAAACTTGATTTTTCATTTGATACCCTAAAGTGTGTCAAAGACAATACATATACAATGCTCATAATGGATAATGAGTTAAGAGCCCAATTACAACAATAGCCCAATAACAATACTAATAACTAATAATATAAATTCTAAATTATATTTTACCCTTCTATCATTGTCGTCGGGTTCACTTGAACCTTGTCCTCAAGGTTCTAATAATGTTAATATAATTGAAATGGAAAAAAATGGTTGGCAAGAACTGGTTGGCAAGTGATGGATCTTGGGATTTTTCAATGCGAGAGAAGCAACATTGAAGGAAATCCAAAGCAAGAGAAGCACTTTCAACTTGCTTTCAATTGTTCCATTGAGGCGGCAACAGATTGAGCCTGACCAAAAACAGAGTTACACGTTGAACACTTGTCGTGATGCTCGCAGAATATGGATAAGCATACAAAACATACATAGCATTTGTCGATTGTTTTCTTATGGCAGAAACTCGAGGCACAAAAATCCACACCAGAGATTTAGGAAGCCTTAAAAGTGCATGAGAATGCAAATCTGTTTCAAACACTGCTGAAAGATATTGAAAAAGCCCATCCAATTGGGGAGGCTTATAATATATGCCACCGGTTATGTATGAAGTCTGATGAAGGACTGCAGAATTGCTTGAACCAATATAACAAGAATTTACAAGAACTGAAGAAAGCTAAGAAGAGAATATTGCATTCATGATTGCCATGTATTGTTCAGGCCCATCAGAGATCCTTGCAGACATAGAATCCAAGGCTGAGGATACATTGGTCCTAAACAAAAAGTTCTTCGTCTATAGTAGAGGGCCTTGGAAAATGATCCAAATAAGAGTGAAGACGGAACGGTTCCAGGTTCATGAGCTATCGTTAATTGCTTATGGTTACCGATAAATTTGTCAAGATTGTGAAGAAGATTGGAATAAAATGCAGGCATTGTATCGTTAGTGGAAGTGTGGTTCTTGTTAGAAGATGAACCGTAAACGTAAGAGCATGAATTGCAACTAATGGCAATAACTACGACTTGGTTGAGTTGGCCGAGAAGGAGTATTGAATTGAAAAAATTGAGAACCATGGTAGGGGGTGGTGGAGGTATGATGCAATTGGCATAGTCAAAAATAAAATATGGTGGTTTCGGTGGCGGTGCTTTGGGTGGATGTAATATTTTGAATGTTGATTTTGCAAAATCGGTGTCATCCTGAATTATTTTGGTAAGTTCTAGAAAATGTAAACCATACCATTCTCGGACCCTCATGGCATACGTATTCAACTCTTTATCAAGATTATCAAGTAAACCAATAGCCTGGACGATCATGGTATCCATCTTGTCTCCACTAAATTTCAATTTGTATCTTGATAGACTATGATACAGACCTAAGCTCATTGGAGCCATGTCTTGAACAACCAAACCTGATATGAGTTTTGTCAGCTGATATCGATATCGAACACCTCGCATTAGCTCTATAGCAGCATTTTTGTGAACACAATCAATTTTCAATTTTACCTTAATAATATACCCCATCTTTGAATCAGCTACAACTAATATCTCATTGTCACAATGAGCGTGCAGGAACTTGCGTAGACGTGTGCTAGATTTTCCATCAATCAAACAGCTAGCTGCCTCAAGAGATTCTATTGTATTCTCAAACTTAGGAAACACTTTCAACGTGACCACCTTTCTTGCAGCATCAGCACTGGAAAAAACCAGAGATAAATCCTGAATTTCATAAAGCTTTCCTTCATTGAGAAATTTGGAAAGAGCAAAACCCGCCGGCATTTCAAATAGTACCAGCATTTTACCAGATTTTGAACAAACTCTTAATGGCTGTGATTTTTCCAAAGAAATTTTATGAAGATCCGGCGGTGCATAAAAGTTGTGTGTTTTGGCTGTAGAAAAGTTGTGTGTTTTGGCTGCACAAACCCCAATTAGTTGTTTTGAGGCGTGGATTGCAAATGAAAGTGTAATATTTGTCTTGCCCAAATCTCTAACAGGCAGTTCCTCGAACACCTCATGTGCATCCGCTACCAATCCAAATTTCAAGTAAGTATTAACCAAAGCACTTCCAACAAAAACATATAATTCCAACCCAGGCTTAAACAACAATCCATGAATCTTCTTAACCTCTAAAACCTCTGCAGGACCACCACGAGCTCTAATTACATACGGGAACACGAATTCATCAGGAACAACAATACCCAAATGATGGATTTGCTTATCCATGGTAGCAACATCACCACCAAGATAAACATGTTCAACTACAAAAACTTTGTTGAAGGATTTTTCTTTAGTAGAATTAATCGAATGTGAAACTTTGTTGAAGAGATTTTTGCTCGATGTTTTTGACAGAATAATTTGGAAAGCTTCATACCTTGGTTTCGGTTTCAGATCAAAAGGTCTCGATGGTAGGTTTGGTGGTTCATGTTGCAGACCTGATGGTTCTTGTATTGATGTTGAAGTAGTCGCTGGAAGTGAGGCAGGAATTTTCAACGGAGAAGACTTTGAAAATGGTACTGGAGAAGTTGTTGAAAATGTTGTTAGAGTGGTAAATGTCACTGAAGAAGTAACCAGTAATGTTGTCGGAGTGGTAAATGTTGCTGAAGAAGATGTCTGAACTGTCGTCAGAGTCAGAATTGTCGTCGGAGATACACTTTTTGTTATTATTTCTTCTTTCGGACAGTTTTCCTCCATTGCTTCCGATTCTTCTTCTGTTTCCGCTAAAGTTCGATTTAAGGTGTCACTTTTAAGAGATTTTCTACATAGATCTAATGATGATGATTCTTATACATCATCTTCAACAGTTTTAGAGATTGGATCCATGGACTCCATTGTTTCATAAGTTAATTTCAGAGCTGGATCATCCTCTTCGTCTTTTGGAAATATTTCTCTCCACTCTGGTTTAAATATCCATAACAAAGTTGTTGTAAATGTATCCCAACTATACCTACGATGAACACGAGACCACCATATCCACCATTTGAGAGCAGAACCTCTCAAAGCTCCAACAGCTTTCAACACCTTCAATGACTTAGGTGTTCCATGCTCTTTAAAAAATTTCTCAAAACAAAGAATCCACCAATAGGCATATTCTTCTCCATTAAACAATAATATAGTCATGAGTTAAAACAGAAAGTGATATCGAAAATGAGAGCACCAATTGTTAGGAAGTAAAAACCATAAACCTAACAAAACTATGAAGAAAGCATTAAAACTAAGAAGAAGCTCTAAAACTCAGAATGGTAAAACTAAATTGATAAAAATAAACTTGATTTTTCATTTGATACCCTAAAATGTGTCAAAGACAATACATATACAATGCTCATAATGGATAGTGAGTTAAGAGCCCAATTACAACAATAACCCAATAACAATACTAATAACTAATAATATAAATTCTAAATTATATTTTACCCTTCTATCATGAATCGTTTGGTTTTATCAAGGGACTTGAGGAGTCGAAGTTGAAGTTGCATTATAAAAGGAGTTACAAAACCGAAGTTTTCGTTGACGATGAACCTCAATTTACTGTTGTCAGATGGCAGTGTGGTTCGCAGAGCTTGATGATTGAGGGTTCTACCTGAAAATGAAGGTTTGAAAAATGAAGGTGAGTTTTAATATGGAATGGATTTTCTTGAGAATAGCTTTTCTGCAGAATTCTTGGTTTTGCGAATTTTTTTCTCTGGTTTTTTTCTGTTTTCTATCGATGGCCATGGAGGGAATAAGAAGGTGATTTCTGTTTGATGATGGTTCCTGATGATGAAGGATGCGGCCAGTGTTTATAGCAAGTGGGTGGGGGTGATTGATGGTAGTTGAAGAAAATTCGTAAGGTATACTTTTCTTTGGGATTTTTCTCTTTTCCTGCTATCCTTCACCTCTCTTTTGTTATTTTTTGATCTGTCTTTTTCTCTTAAAATTCCTCTTCCTCTTTTAAAACAAATTCTCCCCTTGTGTTTTGAGTTGTTAAGTCATTTTCAAGTGCAGGAGGTTGTGTTATATCATTTTCATGTTGCAGATCCTTGGCTTGGTGTTGTTGGTTGATGCAGAGTGCAGAATTTTGTAGTTTTGCTGTAGAATTTGGCTTTGCACAGGATGTCGCAGGCTGTAAGTTGTGTAGCAGAAAACTTGTTTGGTTTGGCTTGGCTAGCAATGCCTTGGTACGGTTTATGCAGATGGAGCAAGAACTTTGTGGAAATTTGGATGCTTGTGGGCAGATGTCCTTTTGCTGCAGGTTGTTCATAGCTTATAGCAGAATTTTGGTGCAAAATAGTAGCAGTACAGTTGGCTTGTAGTGGTGTGGGGTACGATGCGATATGGAGTGTTGCTCTTATTTTTTTTAAATTCTTTTTTTTTTGTAATAAGAAATGTATTGGGCCTTTTAGATTAAATGAGCTTTTATATTTTATATTCTCTTTAATTAATCTTTTCTTTTTTGTAAAAATGAGATTGATATTGTAAATGGACTTATTGAATTGGGATTTGGAATCTAATGGTAATAAAAAAGTGACATGGAAAAGAAAAATGAATTTTGATAAATATTGACAATTTGAAAAGATATTGGATTAAAATGAATATTATGAATGGATTTTGAAATTGGAAAGATGATATTGAATTTAAAATGAAATTGAATGGAATTAAAACTTGAATTGAATTGGAACTTAAATGGCCTTGAATATGACTTGAAAATTGAATGCATAAATAGAATTGAATTGAAATAGAAACAAAATGAAATTTGAAATGGGTTGGATAATGAAATGGGTATTGGAATGGAAAATGGATATTGAACATTGGATTTCAAGAATGGATGGATGAAATAGATGGATAAAATAGATGGATAGAAAAATAAAATGGTTTATGGATAATAAAAAGATAAAAGAGTAAAAAGAAATGGGCAACAAATTGGATAAGATTGGTTTGTACATGAAAATGGATTTTGAATACGGATAAATAACAAAGCGGATAGTTATGGGAACGGGTAAGGGTAATGGTAATGCACCTTAAGAACTAGCGAATCCTCAGACCAATGACGAAAACCAGAACCACATAATCAGGACTTGCAAACAACCTGAGATGTACCAACTATCTTGACTCCTAATGACCCTGCAACTTGACTTCGCCAAATGAATTCGATTTTACATAAAACCTTGGCTTTGATCATGAAATAAAACTTATCTGACCAAGATTAGGTCAGACTTAAATGGTCTTCAACCAACACTAAGCACATACACATGTACTGATAAACATGAATAAGACTCAACTCCTGATCCATTGAATGATTTGCAACTATAGTGTAATACCCCAAATTTTGCCCTGACATTTAGTAGTTCATTTCGCATTCCATTTCGTTGTGCATTGCATTTTAGCTAACCACTAACAGTTTGTGTAGTTAGTTGATTTTGCAGGAAAGTCACATTTATGCGCTCTTTAGCTTATGAAGGGCAAAATTGTCATTTATTGGCAATCGATTGTCAGTTTATGAATATGAGTTGTTGCCGGGGAATATGGGTCGTTTGAGTCCGTTGATGAGAATTGAGGCTAAGCTTGTTAGTTGGAAGGGTTTAATCGGAAGGTATGTCGGAGACGGGGTTAGTCTGATAAATTGGAGGAATTAAGAATTAATAAAAAATTATTGTATTTCAGTTTATTTTCATTTTATTTTAAATCAATTTTATTTTATTTCGTAATGTCATTTTCATTTCATTTTCAATTCTATTTCATTTCAATTCTTATTTTCAGTGCATTTTTTAATAATTTTTGTTTTATTCTAAATATTGTTTCCACTTCCTTTTTTTATAATTCTTAATATTGTTCTCATTTTTAAATAATTTTATTTTGATTTTTTAATTTGATCTATTTTCATTTTTCTAATTTATTTATTTGTTTTCATTTCATTTCATTTTAAAAAACAAAATAATAAAAAACATGCATTTTTGAATAATAATTTTCCATTTCATTTAACCAAAATCAATTTACATTTCCATTAAAAAAAAACAAATAACTTTACAATTACACTTTTCTTAAAATTCCTATAAAAAAAATCCTAAAGTCTTCAGATTTCTTCGACTTTTTCCGAGCTTCCTACTTTTCCTCGAACCTGCAAAATAAACAAAACTAAGCAAAATTTAATGGGTTAGAATTTTATCCGACACCCTCAGAGCATTGTCATCATCGGGTGCGTCGGAAGGGCAACGGATCACTCCGAAACCAACTCCCGACTCATTTCTCAACCACGGTAAATCCAGGCAACATCTGTTCTTACTTTTGAGGCAACCGAGAAAGAGAGATAAAAAAGTGTTTTTGAAAAAAGCTAGTTTGGGAAAAGGTGCTTATCCAGAAAAGTGTTTTTTGAAAAAGCACTTGTTTTAAAAAGTGATTTCGCCAAACACGACACAAACAACTTTCCAGAATTTCTGAGGGTCCCAACGGATCAACAGGCCTAACGAATCAAAGTAACCACCAAGCCGCAAAAGCTGCCAAAACAAACAAATCAAACTCAACAACAACTATCATTCAAAGCATTCGACAAAGCTGCAGGAAACATAGTAACAACCCAAACAAAAGATCCAACACCAACTGAAGAAAACGTGAATCAAGCCCTCATTTCCGTAACAACAAGAAGCAATCAAACCAAAACCGTAAAGCCCACAATCATAAGAATCAACAGTATATAAATCATCCAAATCACAAAAGAACCCTAAGGGAAAATGGCGCAAGTTAGGATTCAGAGAATCTCAACAGATTCTTCATCATCATCCCAAGCTGAAAGAAGAAGAGGAATAAGTTCGTGAACCCATCGGCGACGGAAGAACCGTCATCATCGTCCGTTAAACCTCCCAACACGCACGAACTCATTTGGGTCTTCACCGTCATCCTTGTTCATCAGTTGTTTCGAACCCAAAATCGCAAACCGGATCAGCGGCGGCGGAGACTCTAAAGTCTCCACGCCGGCCGAGCACCACCGGCGGGCATCCTAACACCACAGCCTCAGACTTTCATCATCGTCACCGATCAGAGAAGAAGAAGAGGATCTTTCGTTAATCATCTTCAAAGCCGCGATTTTGGAGAACCCATAATCATCGTCGGAATAACCATCACCAACCTGCGAGCCAATTGTTTCGAATCGGTATTGGAAAAGGTGAGTCGTTTTTTCATTAATGGTTGCATGGTTTATTTTCAGGTGAATGGAAGAAGAAGAAAACAGAGACATGCAAGCGGAAACGGAGCGAAAAGCTTCAGAAAGCTTCCATGGCTGCCGCTGTGGAGAAGAGGATAAAGGGTTTCACGAAAAACCCTAGAAGCAAATGAAGACCACACGGACCCCCTCCCCAATTTTATCTTCTTTTTTTTTTTTGTATTTTTTTTATTTTATTATTTATTTTTCAGATATTAATTTAAGGTTATTAGAAGTTAATTAAACTATTTATTTTAATTAAAACAGTAACATAAAAATAATTTTTTTCTTAATCCAAATATAAAATTAAAAACATTTTTTTAAAATAAAATATAAAATTAAAAACCTTTCTTTTTCTTAAATAAAAAATAAAATTAAAACAATTTTTAGGAATATTTTCTAAGAATTAGAACGTTTTTAAAAAAAATAAAATTAACATATTTATTTTCTTCATTAAAACACTTTTTCTTAAAACATCAAAATTAAAACAATTTTTTTTAATTAAAACAAAAATTAAAACATTTTTCAATTAAAGTCATTAACCTTCTTTTAATTAAAGTATTCTTAAAACATTTTTTTCATTAATTAAAATATTTTTGAGCTACTAATTTTTATTCTTGGAACATCCTTTAAACGTAACCGTTAAAAGTTAGAAATTTGACTTTTCAAATTTCGTTTCATCTCACACTTTGTTTTCCGCTCCATTTTTTCAGTTATAATTGGGCGAGGATATCGTCGCCGTTATTAGTCTGACTTGTTTGTTTTGGGATTGTAATCATGCGAGTAATCGTCGCAGTTATTTATTCTTATTTTGGGGATTTGTAATTTACGCGAGTGATCGTCGCGATGCTTTTGCTTTACCGCTTTCTTTATTTTCGTACTTTAACTGCCATATAATAATTTATCTTTCGCACTAATATTTCCGTTAGAGTCCCCTCCAAAGGAATAG